CGTAAGAAGTGCTTTGGCATAGGATTTTGCTTATAAGAAAGAAATAATCAGAGTTTGAGGCATGGAGCTTGTCTGTACTGCTAATTTATTGCAAGAGAAATGAGCATGTGGATCCCAGGTACTATTTTCCAAGTGCATAATAAGTATGCCTTGGGATGGGGTCACCTCTTCCACTTTAAGAACAGGTTATATGGCACCCTCCATTTAATTTGCACTGAAGGTGTCAGTATAGAAAACTAGCAGGGGATAGCTGGTATGCTGTCAGTTCCCATGTCAGCTTATTTAGTGGTAACTTCCTTGTGTCAGATATTTATGACTTAAAGGAAGAACGCTGCCAGTCCAGAAATCTCCTCCCAGCCTGAAGAGGAAATACAACACAGCTTGAATCTATCATTTGCCACTTGCCACCATGACGTCAGCTCAGGGCTGAACTTTCTACCTGTGGCTGGGACCTTAAATGAGCTGACACCAGAGGAGAAAAGCGCTTTCTCTAAGGTTTAGCAGCAAGTAGCAGCAGCAACAGAAGCAGCAATGAGACGCCGTGTATTCCTTGCTGTGTTGCTCAGCCTGGTGTTGGGCCTTTTGAAAGGTAAGAAACACTATCTTCTGTTTTGGGATTTATGAGAGCAGCTATTGTGTGGCAGTGAATGGATTGCTTAGTACTTTCAGCAGCTGCTGAGAAGTCAGTGGTGATACACAATTCAGCATGTCTAGATTTTGATTAATTAATGATGAAAGATGTCACTGCAAGCCAACAGTTTTCCTTGTTCACAGAACAATTCAAAATCACTGGTGCTTGTGATTAACCTAATTTAGCCTATTCCAAGAGCAGTTTGCAGGACTTCCACACTAAACCCAGGTAATTCAAGCTCTGTTACAGTCATAACAAAAGGTGCAACTGTTCCACCCCAGTACCCTTCCGGCCAGAGGCTCCTTGTCTGGAAAGTAGTGCCACCTGAACTGGCTGGCAGAGCTTTCATTCCCTCCTGTTGAAATAAATTAATGGAAAAGTCACCACCAGCTTGCAAAAGGCTTGTACCGTGGTCCGTTCAAACTAAAGGGCAGGTATCATTCCTTAAGCCACTTACTACTTTTTCCGGCATTGTGACAAACTTGGTTGTTGTGGGTCAGAGCCTCCGCCCAAACTTGCCTTTCCCTGATACTCAGATATGAGGGGGTGAAGGCATCAGCAGAAGTAGAATTAAAGCAACTATATGAAGAGTTTTGTGGCAACTTGAAGCTGTGAGAGGACAGGAATTCCCAGGTAATACAAAGATAAAATTACAGAGATATGAGCCAAATTAAGACCTGTTAAGCTTGCAATTGGTGACAGATGGTTGTGGGGCTCTGTTGACTACTGTGAGCGAACATATGTATTTCCAGCAACATCTACAATATGCTACAGACCAATTTTCAGCTATAAATCATGAGCATAGAAGTCTTCAGGACTGTTGGTTGGTTTTCTGTTTGGAGGCTTGTAGGTAACAGCAAGATGTGAAAAATCTTAACCCAAGAGTTACTGAAAGCAATGTATTTCACTTACTTGAACAGACTTTGCATCAGAATGGGTCAGCCCAGAAACTTTTTTCTTTCTAAGCAAACATTGTAAAAGCCTTGCAGGATGTGTGCATTTGAATAGTACTGGCAACGGCCCTGCCCTGCTCAGCAGCCAGATGTCTCTGCTGTTCCATAACCTTGGGACTAACATCTATTTCTTTATTGCCGCAGTAATGCTTAAGTCCATTAACATATCCTGTTTCATTACATAGAAAGTTAGGTCTAGGCATACAGAGCCATAAATTAGCTATCTTTGCTCAGGTTACCTTTGACAAGTCCATCAGAAAGGTTCAGTTGTAGCTCATGTGCTCTGCTGTCACCACGAATGCTGTTCTTCCTGAGTCCAAAGGGTACTCCTGGGCAACTGTTACCCAGAGCCTTTTGAGGCTAACAGTCGTTGTAAAAAAATGGCTAGTTGTGTAAGGGGTTGTTGCCCCAATATCCATGGCTTGTGGCCAACATAGATTCATCTTATATCATGGTTATAGGAAAAAGTACATTTCTTTACATTGACTGGGAACACATAATGCTGTATATAGAACTCAGTGACCAGTGGAGGCAGAAGAATTGGCAGAGAACTGGTACAATTGCTCATGTTTTCCCTTCACGTGCCTTTTCTACATGAGCTTTATTGACTAGGAGAAAAAGGTTTAAGAGATTTTCCTCACTTTGGATTTTCAAAGCACTACAAAGCTCCAGAAAAGTGGGGCCTATTTTTCAAATGTCTACTGAGATTTGCAATATTTTTTAATATATCAGCTTGAAGAGTGTGATAGTGACACGGATTTTAGCCACAAACACATTAGTCCCCCAGTTGCATGCTACTAATGTTTTAGATTAAATTATGATTGCAGCAGCATAACTCAGAGTAAATAAGTTTATTCCTAAAATATATTAACTAATTCATATTAAAGTTAGATCATATGATCCAAACTGGCCATTTGTCAGTATTACACATTTATCACTAAGGCTGGTTTATTATTTGTTTTCCTTACTTCTAAGAAGAACACCCCAAGCCAAACCAACCAACCAACCAACCAACAAAAAAAACCCCACCAAAACCCCAAACCCCCAACACATTTATATCAAGAGCTGAGAATTACACAGTTTAAATAAATTTTAAAAAACCAAACAAACTTTAAAATAAATATCTGAATTACTTTGGAAGAGTAAAGACAATGATGGAATGCTGAAACCAAAGTGTGAGGAAATTTTTTCACCTATTGTCTGGTATCAGCCTGGTTTCTCTTTATTCAGAAAAATTACAAAAGGAAGAAAAAGACAAAAAATAATGAATACTGTCATAACTGCATGGAATTGTGATTCAGGAAAAGGGGTCTTGATACCACTGATGATAATGTAGCAGAACAAGCATTCGTTGAACGGAAATTGTCTGCTTTCAGTGTCCACATAAACTTGCACAAGAGCAGGTGCTAGCAAAGGCAGTCATCCTTCCACTGCTCTGAAAGAGTCTACAGAGAGTTTTCAATGGTGCTCCAGTAGTGCTCAGCCCAGGGGTCACTTCCTGCTGAATGGGATGCCCCAGACCTTGCTCTGACAGTCAGCACTGCAGGGAGAAATGTGTGTGCCTACAACTCAAGTCATGTAGAGGAGAAAGGCAGGGAGAATTTAAACCTGCTATTGGTAATAAGGATTCCAATGGCAGGGTCAGACAAAATACTATGAGAGAAAAAGTAACACAATAATGCATGAGGCCAGGGGAAAGCCCAAAGGAAAGGTAAGGCTACCCGGAGTTCTAGCTGTTCA